ATTTTTTAAAATTAATTAAAACTATGAGAAAATTACTTGTAAAATACTTTACACAGAAAAATGGTCCTTTTTCTCCTGAGATCCTAAAGAATATCTTAAATATTAAAAAGAAAGAAAAGACAAGGTTATGGAAGGAAGAAAAAGGAAAAAAGCCCAAGGTCTCTCCAACACCAACACCTTATCAGAAAGTCAACAGCGCCCTCTGCTGGACCAAAATCTCTTCTACACACCAGGCAAAAGCAATGAATGAAAATGTATTGTAATATGCTACTACTATAATAAATCCAGGAGAGTTACTTTTATTATAGAGAATTTTAATATTTATTTAATGAATAAATTAAAATCAGATATAAGCATGTCTAAAAATAACTTCTCTGTTGTAACAATTTACTAAGATTAAGTAGAATAAATGACTTGTAGAGAAAATGATTATGAATAGTAGAACAAAGCAGTATCAGAATGCTAATATTCTATTCTAAAAAAAAGAATGTTTTTCTTAACTATATTTTCACCACGTAGAGACTGATACCTCATTAGATCTTCAACTTATGAGACACCAGTATAAGAAAATTAATCAAAAATAAAAGTAAAGGGAACAAGCAGTAGATGCTCTAACTTAAAGAGAGTAAAGGTGGTAAGATGATAGGAAGATAAAGAGACAATTATCTAATTCTCCAATCCACAAGTTGAAAACTAAATTATTTTAACAAATACTAAGAAAATTTGAAAGACAAAAAAATTTAATGTCACATCAGGATAAAATAAATCATTAAACTAATTTATTATTCATATTTAGGGGAACCTTTCTTCAAAACAGTATAACTCAAAAAAAAAAAAAGGAACAGATTTTAAAAGTATGACAATTAGAATGTTTATACCTTTACAGAAATAAGAGAAACAAATCCAAGAGACCAGCAGATAGCATAATGGTTATGTTGCTGGACTTCCATGTAGTCGACCACAGTTTAAGGCCCAGACCTGGTGGCTTCAAACTCACGCCGGGCGCGTGTGCATGCATGCCCAAGATCCCAAGAGGAGAATGGAAGAGAAGGGATTGCAGCATGTCCATCCCCCCGGGAGGGGGATTTTTTGCTTTCTGTCTCTCTGTCTCTCTCTGTCTGTCTGGCAAGCGCACGCGCCCTATAGCAAAAAAACCTCTCCAAAAAAAAAAAAAAGCTGAATGGTATATAAGACGAAGAAACAAGTTCTCCAGATGAAGAAATAGGTTTTAAAAAGGAATTTTACTTAGTCAAGCCCCTCAGTTTACCCTATTTAAGAACTTTAGATGGTCTATGGGAACCACCAGTTAGCGTAATGGCTATGTTGCTGGACTCCCACGTAGTCGACCGCGGTTCGCGTCCCGGACCCGGTGGCTTAAAACTCACGCCAGGCGCGTGTGCGTGCGTGCCCAAGATCCCAAGAGGAGAATGGAGGAGAAGGGATTGTGGTGTGACCATCCCCCCTGGGGGGTGATTTCTCACTTTCTGTCTCTATGTTTCTCTCTGTCTGTCTGGCGAGCGCACACGCCCTATAGCAAAAACCTCTCCAAAAGAAAAAAAAAAAAAAAAGAACTTTAGATGGTCTAGATTAAAATGACAGATAAAATGTGAGGCATATGATCTGTCAACATTAGAAAAGCTCTAAAATATAAACTGCATATTTTCAATTACTTTATCTAATAGTTTTAGTGATAAACTAATTTCAAAATCTGCTACACAATAAATATTAAAATTTATAGGTACAGCCCCATGGCATAGTGGTTAAAGGAGTGAGATCCCACATGGCCTGTCTGGACAGTTCAGATCCCAGCCCTAGTAGCTTGAAAAACATGTCAAGAATGTGTGCATGCATGTCTCAAATCCTGATAGGATGAAGAAATGGAAGAGAAGGGATTGCAGTGTGACCACATCCCACTGGGGTGCTTTCTCCCTCTCTGTCTCTCTCTGAAGAGCACATGCACCTTCTGGCAAAAAACAAAAAAACCTTAAGAAATTTCATATGAATGAAGCCATATATTCTTCTTCTAATTTTTCATAAAATCACCTAATCTAAAACAAAGAAAATACCATTTTTGTATGTGTATTTATTTCTTCCATGAGTAAGAAAGAGACGAAGACAGCACTCCCAACAGAATCTTGACTCCGTGATCTACTCCCAACCTTAGTTATTCCTGGATCATGGGCACACAAGTATTTGGTGTGAACAAGGAAATCCCCAGATATGAACCCACAACCTTCCATGGTGAATCAGCATCACAGAGCATCGTATTTTACTGCTGTGCCCCCATCCAGTCTCGGAAAATATTTTTGTTTATAAGTCACTTTGCAAAGACTAAGAAATGCTCTATCAGAAACCAAAGTGAGTTCCTAAAAGGAAAAACACACTCTTCAGCCACCTAGTGGCATAGCGGTTAAAGAGAATGGAGGAGAAGGGATTGTGGCGTGGCCATCCCTCTGGGGGGTGATTTCTCACTTTCTGTCTCTCTCTGGTGAGTGTACACGCCCTATAAAAAAAACCACTCCAAAAAAAAAAAAAAAAAAAAAAAAAAAAACCTTTACTAATGTCCCCATTATTCTATGAAGATGATTAGTCCTGGTTCTGTGAAAAACTAGATATATTGGTTAGTGCTAAATAGCCATTAACAAATTTACTAAATATACTAATAATTTACTAAAATACAAAAGACAGTCACGTTGGCTAAAAACTATTAATTCAGTAATAGTTGTATTTCTTTTCAAACTATTATTCAATTTTCCTGTTAGAAAGAAAAGAATAACATTGAAAATATAGATCATTTTACCTAAGTTTGTGGGGGGTTTTCTCTAACGAATCAAAAAGTACATAAAACGAGGGCTGGTAGGTGGTGAAGTGGTCCAGGTGCTGGACTATCACACAGCCAACTGCGGTTTTAGTCACAGATTCAATGGCTTGAAATTGATGCCGGGTGTGTGTATATATGTGCCCAGAATCCCAGGAGAATAGAAGAGAAAGGTCTGCAGCATGGCTATCCTTCCCAGGAGGTGATTTATCCCTTGCTGTCTCTTTGTCTCTCTGGCAAGTGCACACATCTTACAGCAAAACTGTCAAAAAAAAAAAAAAAACAACTACATAAAATTATACATTTGCGCTTTCCATTACAGGCTACAAAAAAAAAACAAAGAAAGAAAACAATATTAGAGCTCAACCTTACATTATTTGTATCACAAAAGTACTTTGATATCTGGATGAATTTACTTCATGCATACATAATTATTAATTAGCATGGCATATATAACAGCCCTATAAGATAACAAATGTGGCAACTTAAATACCATGCTGGGCGCATGTGCATGTGTACCCAATATCCCAAGAGAATGGAGAAGGGATTGTAGCATGGCCATCCCCCCTGGGGGTGATTTCTCACTTTCTGTCTCTCTGTCTCTCTCTCTCTGTCTCTCTCTGTCTCTCTCTCTCTGTCTCTCTCTGTCTTTCTGGCGAGTGCATACGCTCTATAGCAAAAACCTCTCCAAAGAAAAAGAAATAAAGGAGAGAGCAAGTCAGCAGGTGACATGGAGATTAAGGCACTGAACCCCACATGGCCAGCTGTATGGTCAAGTCCTGGCCCAGAGGCTTGAAAATTACATAGGGTATATGTGCATGCATGTTCAAAATCCTGAGAGAAGATTGAAGGAGAAAAGACCGCATCATGGCCATCCCCTCTGGGGTGATTTCTCACTCTCCTTCTCACTCACTCTGTTGAGTGCACGTATCTTGTAACAAATAAAATCAGTCAATTTGGAGAAGGGTTTGCGGTGTGGCCATACCTCCTGGGGAGGCATTTCTCACTTTCCTTCTCACTGTCTCTCTGTCTCTCTCTCTTCAGAGAGCGCATGCACCCTAAAAACCTCTACAACAAAAAAGGAAAGTGGGAGCCAGCAGGTGGCTTAGTAGTTAAGGCTCCTAGACCTGGTGGCTTGCTTTCTCACTTTCTCTCTCCTTCTCTCTGAGTCCAGGCAAGAGCACACGCCCTATAGCAAAAAAATCTCGGGTGGGGGGGAGAAAAACATACCATATGAAAAACATGCACGCATGCCCAAAATTCTGACAGAAAAATGGTGGGGAAGGGATTACAGCATGGCCCTCCCTGCTAGAGGGTGATTTCTCACTTTCCCTCTGTCTCTATTTGTCTCTCTCTGGCAAGTAAATGTGCCCTATGACAAAAAAATTAAAAAAGAAAGGAAAGTGGGTCAGCAGGTGGTGTGGTGATTAAAGGCACTGGACTCTCACATGGCTGACCATGGTTCAAGACCCAAATCTGGCAGCTTGCTTTCTCACTTTCCCTATCTCTCTGTCTCTCTTTGGTCAAATTAAAAAATAATAATAAAATGAAAAAAAAATTCTTAAAAAAAAAAAGGGAAAGCAACATCTTTTCTTTTAATTATTTTATTTAACTTTATTTATTTATTTATTTATTTATTTTTAATTTGACCAGAGAGGGACCACATGAAAGAAAGAGAGAGAGAGAGAGAGAAAGGGAAAGTGAGATAGAAAGCAACCAGGTCCAGGACGTGAACCATGGTCAGCCACGTGGGAGTCCAGTGCCCTTAACACCATGCCACCTGCTGGCTCCAGAAAGCAACATCTTAATACTAGTATTAAAATACTTCTGACCTCAGACTACCTGGAAAAAAAAATCTCAGGACTCTCTGGGGCTCTCTAGATTACCCTTTGAGAACTGCTACCCTAAGGATATTGAAACAACTTTAGGGAAATGGAGATCACCAACAGTAGAATATAGAACAGAAAAAAAAGAACTTTCACATCTCTCTAGTCCAATTCTCTCATTTCATAAGTTAGGAACTGTGATAGGGTTTACCATATCACACATTAGTAACAGATACGACAGCATTTAAAACTTCTGAGTTGTTTTTTAATTACTTGCATTATACTATTCTTTTTTCTCAAAAATGTATTTAGAAAATTGAACATTTCTTTCTTTAACTGAACAACAGTATACATACATTTTGTAGAGAAATTATCTTTCCTAATGGAGAATTGAGTTTTATGGGCTTTGCAGAAGCAACATTTTCATCCAAATGGTGTACTTCCTTTTCAGCACAATGACGTTTTCTAATCTGTAAACAGAAACCAAAATGAAATTTATTGAGTGTAAACTAAAAGTATGACAAGCAAATTGTTCTCAAAGGTCAAAATAGCTCCATATGTCATTGTTTTTTTTTTTCCTTATATCCAGAAACAAGACTATTTCCAACTGACAATAATCAAATATTTTAACAAACACTAACAGATACCTCATCACAACATTTAAATGAAACAGAATATAGTAACTCTTAAATTCTAATCAGAATAGCTTTAATTAGTGAAATGATTTTCCCATAAAATAGTCCCAGCATAAGGATATTAATAACAGTATAACAAAATCTAATCACCTATATAATTGAAAAACAAAAGGAAATCAAAATTTAAGATTCAATCTATATTTGAAGAGAACTCAGAATGAAATCTTAAAATGTAAACAGTCATGATTTCCTACATGATAAACTGTCTCATCACTATTACTTCTATTACCACTAGATATTGAATAAACCAAACTGTCAGGAGCTAGCAGGTGACATAAATGTTATGTCGCTAGACTCCTACGTAGTCAACTGCAGTTCGAGTCCTGGACCTGGTGGCTTAAAACTCATGCTGGGTGCATGCATGCATGCCCAAAATCCTGAGAGAAGATTGGAGGAGAAGGGACTTCAGTTTGGCCATTCCCCTCTGGAGAGTGATTTCTCACTTTCAGTCTCTCTGTCTCTCCAGTGAGCACACAATCCCTGAGCAAAAATCTCTCTTAAGAACAAAACGAAACAAAACAAAACAGAACTCTCTGATTACATTTAAGTTCTCCTCTCAAACTGTACCTATGCTTTTTCCAACTTGCCAAAGACCTATTACCTAAGTTGCAAAGGAGTGGGGAAGAACATATTACATTGATAATACCCTTCCTACCAAAAATGAAACGAGTAAAGTTGGGTAATGAATGTTTTAGGTTGATCTCTAACTCACATCCAATTCTATACACAGTTTGGGGAAAATCTCTATAGATTCACACTCATTTGTTAAATGGTACTTTTTTTTTTTTTTTTTTTAAAGCTTTTTGCCATAAGGCACCTACACTTGTCAAAGAGACAATAAGAGGGAAAGTGATGAATCACTCCCCAGGGAGGATGGCCACACAGTAACTGTTGCTCATTCTCCTCTCAGGATTTTGGGCACATATGCACATGTGCCTGGCCTGATTTTCAAGCTGCAGGGTCTGAGACTCAAACTGCATCAGCCATCTGGGAGTACAAAATCTTAACTACCATGCTACTTGTTGCCCTGTAACTGGTGCTTTTAAATAAACAAATTAGGGGTCCAGCAGGTGGCTGGATTTTGCTATAAGGCACATGCACTCGCTGGAGATACAGAGAGATAGAAAGCGAGAAACCACCCCTGGGGGGTGGGGGGGAGATGGCCACCCCACAATCTCTTCTCCTCCATTCTTCTCTCAGGATTTTAGACACACACACATGTGCCCAGCTTGAGTTTCAAGCTTCTGCTGGACTCCCACATGACCCATCTCATTCAAGAGGGAAATGAAGGGGAACCAGCAGTTAGCGTAATGGCTATGTCGCTGGACTCCCACGTAGTCGACTGCGGTTCGCGTCCCAGACCCGGTGGCTTAAAACTCACGCCGGGCGCGTGTGCGTACGTGCCCAAGATCCCAAGAGGAGAATGGAGGAGAAGGGATTGCGGCGTGACCATCCCCCCTGAGGGGTGATTTCTCGCTTTCTGTCTCTATGTCTCTCTCTGTCTGTCTGGCAAGCGCACGCGCCCTATAGCGAAAACCTCTCAAAAAAAAAAAAAAAGAGGGGAATGGAGGAAAAGAGATTGTGCCATGGCCTTCTCCCCTCCCTGCTCCCCATTGGGTGATTTCTTACTTTCCTTCTCTGTCTCTCTCCAGTGAACACATGTACCCTATGGCAAAAAATTTTTTTAATTTTTTAAAATGTGTATCTTGGCAAAAAGAAACTGTATTAGAAAAAATGATGGAGAAACTGGAGGCCAAAAGGTGGTGTGGTGGTTATGGCACTAGACTACCAAATGGCTGACCGCAGTTCAAATCCTGGACCTGGCAGCTTGCTTTCTCACTTTTCCCCTCTCTCTCTCTCTCTTTCTCAGTCGTCAAATTAAAATTAAAAAATCAATTAAATTAAATAAACAGTTATTTTTACATCACCAATATATGCCTTAAGTAAATATTTTACTGTTAAAATTCTCATATATAGGGGCCACCAGGTGATGTAATGCTTAAGGCACTGGACTCCCACATGGCCAGATCCGGCAGCTTCAGAACTGTGCTGTGCATGCATGCCCAGAATCCCTGGAGAATGAAGATGGACTGCAGTATGGTCATCCCCCATGGGGAGTGATTTCTCACTTTCCCTGACACGCTCCAGTGGGTACACATGCAGCTATGATAAAAACTCCAAAAAAATCACAAAATAAAAATAATACCTCATCTATAGGAAAGCACCATCAACTTTATTTTACTGACAAATTACTATGAATAACCTGCTAAAATAACCAATTTCTTTGTAACAAACTAACTGTAAGTTACAAAGGGTAGGCCCTGTAGTGTTGTGGTTAAGCTCTTTCCAGAGGGCAGAAGTTAGATCACATACAATCTACCAAGGGTTCAGGTTCCAGCTCCCATAGCTTGAAAAACATAGTAGGCATGTGGAAGTGGATCTAGAATGGAGGAAAAAGGATTGTAATGTGGGGTTAAAAAAAAGGATTGCGATGTGACTAGTTCCTGTTCGGGGGTACTTTTGCTATCTCTGTCTTTCTCTTGTGCCTGCACCTTCTGGCTTAAAAAAGAAAAAAATGAAGTTACAATAAATTATATTTAATTTTTGGCTGGCATATGACCCACCTAATCTCCAGGAGTGCCAATGAAAACTTGATTGATACCTGACTACCATCTTTAGCTACAACTAACAGGATTATTTCACTGCAAGTAAACTTTACCTGCTGTGTAGTTTCCAAAGGTCGAATTCTTTTCTTCTCTACTTGAAAATCATCATTTTCATCACTGTAAATGAATGCCTGTTTCTTGGCAGATAACTTTGCAGCCAGAGTATTTTTTCCAGGAGAGTCTTATATAAGAAGTAATAAAAATTAGTACAAATAATTCACATATAGGCAATTTCTCTAGGACAAAACTGGAACCAAGATTTAGGGCTTATTTATAAAATTTTTATACCATAGTTTAAAATATGAAATGCAAATATGTTTAAAAATCACTTTTTGGGCCAGCAAGAGGCATGTTAGTTAAAGCATTGGATTCCCACATGGCTGACAACGGTGTGAGTCCCAGATTTGGCAGCCTGAAAAATCACACTGGGTGTCTATGCATCTATGCCCAAAATCCCAGGAGGAGAATGCAGAGGAGGCTGTGATGTGCCCACCCCATCCCCAAAGGGTGACTTCTCACTTTCCCGCTCTCTGTCAATTTCCAGCAAGCACATGTACCCTATGACAAACACCTAAAAAGATATATTTTCAAATCACTTTTTTGTGTGGAGAAGTAATTTGCTATAGGGTGCATGCACTCACCAAAAAAGAGAGACAGAGAGACAGAAAACAAGAAATCACCCCCCCAGGAGATGGCCACGTCGCAATCCTTTCTCCATTCTCCTCTCATGATCTTGGGCACGCATGCATACGTGCCCAGCATGAGTTTAAGCTGCCAGGTCTGGTACTCAAACTGTAGTCGACTACATGGGAGTCCAGTGACATAGCCATTATGCCAATTGCAGGCCCCTCAAATCACTATTATACCACTGAGTTTACTTTTCCAAAGATATAACAAACATTTGAGAAAAGCCCAATTTTGATCATTTAATATGTTTTTAAATTATTCTCAACATAGGGGACAGCGGATGTCATGGTAGTTAAGATGTTGGACTTCCATGTGGCCAACCACGGACCTGGCAGCTTGCTTTCTCACTTTTCCTCTCTCTCTCTCTTGGGAGCACACAGGCCCTATAGCAAATTTTAAAAATACATTACAAATAAATAAATAATTCTTTTAAAAAATTATTCTCAACATGACTTAAGAAATACAACTGTTGGGAACCAACAGTTAGCATAATGGCTATGTTGCTAGACTCCCACGTAGTCAACCGCGGTCTGTGTCCCGGACCCGGTGGCTTAAAACTCACGCCGGGCGTGTGTGCGTGCATGCCCAAGACCCCAAGAGGAGAATGGAGGAGAAGGGATTGTGGGGTGACCATCCCCCCTGGGGGGTGATTTCTCGCTTTCTGTCTCTATGTCTCTCTCTGTCTGGCGAGCACACGCGCCCTATAGCAAAAATCTCTCCAAAAAAAAAGAAATACAACTGTTGGGACCAGCAGTTAGCATAATGGCTATGTTGCTGGACTCCCATGTAGTCAACCACAGTTCGAGTCCTGGACCCGGTGGCTTAAAACTCACACCAGGCGCGTGTGCGTGTGTGCCCAAGAACCCAAGAGGAGAATGGAGGAGAAGGGATTGCGGCATGGCTATCTCCCTGGGGGGTGATTTCTTGCTTTCTGTCTCTCTGTCTCTCTGTCTTTCTGGTGAGCACATGCGCCCTATAGCAAAAAAAAAAACAAACAATCAAAAACAAAAAAGAAATACAACTGTGGGGCCAGCAGGTGGCATGGTGGTGAAGGGCACTGAACTCCCACATGGCCAACTACGGTTTAGTCCTGGACCAGGTGGCTTGCGCTCATGTGCTCGCTCTCGCTCTCTCTCTCTCTCTCTCTCTCTCTGTCGTTGTGTCCCTCTCTGATCAAATTAAAATAAATAAATGAAGTTAAATAAAATAATTCCAAAAAGAAATATAACTGTAAGATTCTCTCTAGAAAATGTATTTCATGTCTATAAAAAAAAATTTTTTTTAAGTCTTTCAGTGTTCCTTTTCTATTAAGCTTCTCCATGTTCTTAAGGCTAAAAATAAAAAATTAAGGTTAACAGCCAACAGGTAACATCATGGCTAAGGCTTTGGACTCGCACAGAGTGGACAGTAGTTTGACTTCTGGACCTAGCAGCTTGTTTTCTCACTTTCCCTCTCTCTCTCTTTTTGTCTCCCTCTGGTCAAATTAAAAATAATAATAATGACAAATAAAATGAAATAAAATAATACCTTTAAAAAATTAAGGTTATGTCTTTTTTTTTTTTTTTAATTTTGTTATAGGGCACATAAGTTCACCAGAAAGATAAAGAAGGAGAGAGCAGGGGTCAGGGGCGCTAGTTAAAATTCACCCCCTAAGTGGTATGGCCACACCACAATCTCTTCTCCTCCATTCTCCTCTTAGGACTTTGTGCATGCATACACATGTGTGTGCACACACATACTTAGCATGTTTTTCAAGGCACCAGATCAAAGGCTAAAACCACACAATTAGCCTTGTGGGATCCTAACTACAATGTGTGCCCTAATTACAATCCCACTGGCTGGCCCAGCTCATACGGTATTTTATTTTTTGGTTTTCTTTTTAAAGAATTATTTACTTAAGTTTATTTATTATTAATAGTATTTTTACTCTGACCAGAGAGAGAAAGGGAGAAAGAAATGAAAAAGCAAGCTCCCAGGTTAGGACTCAAACCTTGGCCAACCATGTAGGAGTCCAGTGCCTTAACCATCATGCCAACCACTGGCACACATACAGTGCTTTTAATCCCACAAGTTTGAAAGCTCATTCTCATGGTTATCAATGACCTCCTCTTAATTACTAAATAATATTAATTATCCCCATTTATAAATATAAACACTAAATTTTAAAGACAACAAATAATTTCCCCAATATCATATAGGTAGTAAGTGGCAGAGCTTGGGTATGACTGAATACTGTTACTTGTTTCTAAAATCTGTAAGTGTAACCCCTAGGCATACAACCAAATAGCAGACAGATTTCCTCTTTCCTCAATATCTATAACACTGTTTGTAACTATTCCTATACAATGACTTCTCTATTTTTCTAAATGTGAGTGTTCTTTTTTAAAAAAGTTTTTTAAGAATTATTTAATTTTATTTATTCATTCATTTATTTAATTTGACCAGAGAGACAGAAAGTGAAAAAGCAAGCCTCCAGGTCTGGGATGAACGGTGGTCAGCCACGTGGGAGTGAGTGTCCAGCACCTTAACCACCACCAATATGAGTGTTCTTAAAGACATCTTCCTCCCTCTTTGCTCCTCTGTACAGTCTCTCCATGGCTTGATCATTTAACAGTCATTATTTTCAGTTCATATAATGCCCAAATACTATGGAAAAACAATGAACAGGGAAAAGCAACAAAAAGGGAAACACAACAACAATCAACGGTCCATGGCCTTGAAGGACTTACAGGCTATTTACAGAAAATCCTGATAGAGAAGGTCTCATATTGTTTTCCGTTTTTGGAGATATTTTCGCTATACTGCACATGTGCTCACTGGATAGAGAGACAGAAAGTGAGAAATCACCCCATAGGGGGCTGGCCATGCCACAATCCCTTCTCCATTCTCCTCTCAGGATTTTGGGCATATACACACACATCCCCAGCCTGAGTTTCAAGCCTCCGGATCTAGGACTCAAAAGGCAGTCAGCCATATGTGAATCCAGAGATGTAACCATTACACCATCTGCTGGTCCCGGTCTCACATTGTTTTTTGTTTGTTTTAAATTTGGGCCTACATAAACACACAAGTGAACCTATGCCACAAAGCATTGGTTTTCAAGTTTTTTTATGAGTAAGACTATACTTTTTTAAAGAAATATTGCTTAAAATTTCCAAAATAGTAATGAAGAATGAGAACTTCCCTGACCCAACACTCTCTT